AAAGAACCCAATTAGCATAAATCTAAACCTTACTCCTCACCCTCTTTCTTCATAGCAGCTCCCACAACTGACACTCTTTGAGTTTTTTTTTTTTTTTTTTTTTTTTGAGCTTGTCTTATAGTGCCCTGATCCTGGGGCCCTTGGCGTTTTTCCAGCTCCCTTACATAAAGCTGAAGGCTTCTCTGTTTCACACCATCAGGAGACTCCAGCAGTCACTGCCACCACTGGAAATGCATGGTGTCCTAACCACTTCTCATTTTCCTTGGCTGTTTCTGAGCTGAGAGAATCAATATTGGGTGTTGCAGAAATTACTCTTTGCCCATAGCCACTATCTTTGGCAACTGTAACCTGGTGGCAAAATGGGGTTATTATAAGCTTTTCCCTTTACAGTGAGAAAACTAACATATGCTGTTAGGCACACATAAGCTATCTGAAGTGCTGAGCTGAAAATAGGAGGTTGGCATTTTGGGAGAGTGACTGGGGTTTTTGTGGATATTAAGGTAAGCTCGGGACACGGATAGTGGAGAACATAGCAGAGACGTGTGAGGATAACATAATCTGGTGAGCTGCTGGTTAAGAAAACAGGTGCTGAGAGAAGCAGAAGTCCAGATTTTCTGCTGACACCTTCAGAGATTTACATGGCACTGAGTTGTATGGAAGTAGAAAAGATGGTGCTCAGTTTTATATATCATCCTATGGCTGTGCAGTATTCTGTCTTGGAGGTCGTTTTAACAGACTCACCAAAGATAAGATTAATTTTAGCGTCTTGTCTTTGATTTCTCTACTACCTTAACCTCCTCACCTTACTATATTCCTCTTTCTCCTTTCTTTTTCTTGGTGTATCAATGCACAGACAATATTTATCTGCCAGTGCTTCCCCCCCCCAAATTATTTTTCTCTTTCCTTAAGAGATACTAGAGATACTGTCCAGCTGCTAGTGTGGAAAAGGGTGGTGATTAGTGGACAACAGTCACAAATGTTTACTCTGCAAGCCTTATAAATAGTGCAGCTACCATATTTTAATTCTTTTTCCTTGTTTATTTTATTCCTTGGTGCTATTTCTATAGAACGGGATTAAATCTGCATATCAGAGATGAGATCATATAGGATTTAACTTTGGATAAATGAAGCTAGAAAAAAACGAGCCAGCATTTCATGGAATGATGCAGCATGATAAAAATCAGCTAAACTTTTGTTTCAGACTGCATCCAGCTTAATTTAATATTGTTGGTTTGAGGATTTGGGAATTTTTTGAGAGGGTGGAGCAGACGTAGCACTAGAGCATATCTTCTGAGAGCAAGGCCTATGTTTATTTTTTGGTGTACTGTAGGACAAAAATGCTTCATTGCGGATAAGCAATCTATGCATAAACAAAAAAGGCCAAGCTCCTTGGTCTGGGCGGGCTGCAGGCCAAACATGAGCAAAGTTGTGTAGGAATTATCCACACATATGATGCTGTAAATCATACAGCACATGTTCACTTGCAACATTCCTCTCATTCACAGCCATGTTTTCTAACTCCTCTTCAGCCACTAGATTAAACCTGAAATGATAGCAAGCTGAGATCAAGTAATTTCATACCTAAAGCAACATCTACTAATAGCAAAAGAGCTTGCAGTTGCTAAAATAAGGTTTAGAGCAGACCAAGCTCAGAGCAAAATTGAACAGGGTTTTGGCAGTGTACTAAGATTAGGAATCTAAATTATTAAGCATAAAAGCTAGAAATAGCTTTGCTGATAAGGAAGTATTAGTCATATTAGAGCTGGTACATGAGCGGGAGCTGCTTGACACAACAGCATAGATGAAGTGCTGAATAGAATTTTGTTTTGGTGATATATTTAAGTTGTAAAACATGATAATTATAATTGAATTCAACAGGAAAGCTCAATTAATGAATCGCAGGTTTCTTCATCACTTTAACTGAAATAAACTGTGCATATATCAACATTAAAAGAGTACATATAAATTTTAATGGGGTGAAAGCGGAGATATTAGAAACTCCTGCCAATACAAGTTCTGGGTGGTTGAAACAATCTACGTGAACACGTGGCAAAGACAACTTTAGTCTGCGCATGTGTCCTTGTAAATTCAACGATAACATTTTCCAAGCCTAACATAAGCTTTGACAAATCAAACACCACTTGCTGCCTATGGAGTTTCTTTCCTGAGCGCAGAAACAGTCATTTACAAGGTAGGGCTGAAGAAGCTCTTACCGTTGAAGTTTGAAGTAAAACAGAAAACATCATATCGGCTTTTATCTTTATCCCAGAACCCGTAATTCCTGACCCCAGGCACGGTGTTCTTCCCTCCACAGGGCTCTCTGGGCTTGGTGATGGGGTACTGCACGGAGCCGTCGCTGAGCCAGCCGGCATTACACCAGTCCAGCCCTGACCTCCAGGCATCGTAGAGCTGGTCAAAGGAGGCGATAACAGAGTCTTGGTCCAGACATGCTTGCTGAGCCTCGTGGAAGTTTAAGTTGTAACGACCCAGGCGCGGAGAGTAAGGGAATACGACACCTGAAGTTGTAGGAAGAGGATGAGTTAGTGGACACCAAAATGGCAGAAAGAAGGGAAACAGCGACCAGAAGGAGAAATAAAGGTTAACTACATGATGCATGTCAGACTGTTAAGTTGTTTTCCTTCTGGGGAAAAGCACATTGTCAGCACATCAGCCATTATGTTTGAGAAGGGGATAGGGCTGCCACCTTACCTCGCCAGCTCCTCTCCCTATAACCTCATCCCTCTCCCAACGGGAATCGTGCCAGGTCTGCACATTGCTCCATCTGCAGCTTTGCTGTTCCCACTGTGATCTCACCCTCGTGCACTCTTAGAGTGCTTAAAGATGAGCAGAGCTGGATGAAATTTTGCAACTACACATTTTTCATCAGAAAATTCCAGTTTATCAGGTGTAAGATCAATTTTTCATTTAAAAAAAGTAAATTAAACCCCAGCCTAGTTCTATTTTTTGTGGGATGGGATTTGGGGATTTTCTGGCAGTCATTTAGAAAGAATAAATTGTAGTACAGAGGCATATGAACTATTTCTTTTTACACATAGACATTAAAATGAAATGTTTTGATTGACATAAAAGAGTGCTATGTTCTTTGCATGGACCCTTGCCAAGGTATACTGAGAGGTTCAATACAGTTGGTTTTTTTGTTTGTTTTTATTTTATTTCACATTATCCTAGGAATGGGAAGGTATTTCATGCCCAGCTTAATAACAACATCTCAAGGCTAGACTGGTAGGAGGTATAATTTTAGTGTCCTGAGTTCTTAAAGTAGGAAATCTATAGGGAAATAAAATCAGTGAAGTCGTGTGTGGTTTTAGGGAGACATTTCTGCTACTTTCCAGCTGTTTTTTGGCAGTTTGTCACCACTCAAGGAGGGAGAGCTCCTCACAGAGGGCATCAGGGAGCACGGTTCCTTGAGCAGAAGACAGGTTTCCCCAATTGCAGATAGTGAGCCATGTAGCACACAGAGTGCAGCAATGCAAGACAGCCCTAGTAGGAAGCCATGTGAAACACCACCTTCCCTCGCTACTCCTATGGCTGCCACAAGCACTGCTGGCTTAACCAAAGGACGCTTGCCGGAGAGCCACTGTGCAAGGAGCATGGACCTGCCAAATGCTTCCTTCCACCCATGAGAACCAGCCACAGGCTGGCCCAAAGGCTGATCTGTTTCTCATCGGTGCTGAGCCACTGCAGACAGGTATGGCAGAGAGATCTTCTCATAAGAGGACATCAAAGTGGAGATGTGAAACACAGGGACACCAGAATTATTTCAGCAGCAATATTTAATCAAAGTCATTGCCCTTATCTGACAGATTTTTCCACAGTATATCTTCTGCTTGTTCTATGAAAAAGATCTGTACTTAAAGATCACTTCTTGAAGCATGAAAGATGTTTCAGAAAATGCTGAAGAACCACCTTCCCATGTGGCTCTGATATAAGAGAAGAGAAAGACTTGAAACAACAGTTTGGATCAGACCACCCTAATCTTTGGCAGGGTTTAGAAACTTAACCTAGATCTAAATTTTACAGTTGGCGTTAGCCCAGTCTCATAATAAGCTGAAATAAAACAGCATCAGAGAAGATCCAGCTCAGAATGTTTATACTCAAATATCTCTGTAGAACTAAGTGCTGTAGGACGCAGAGAGACTGAAGACAAGATAACACATGAGATGAGCCAAAAACTTCACACTGTTTTAAACATTCATTTTTCTATTTACTTTCTCCCTGCTGATGAATTCTCCTGCCTGTAACAAGTTCTTTGTCTCCAGGGCAATGTAGCATAGCATAGAGAAACTACATTATGGTCATGCAAGACTGTCACTATGCAACAAAGCCATTCTTCTTTCTGAACATTCAAACCTACTTTGGTGTCTATTCGACCAGTATCTTAACGTCTCCTGTCCTTCCCTTCTCTCCGTCACCCACCTATTGTCCAAGAAGTGTTATTTTTGTTAAACAAAATCTTCGTTATTACTAAACCTCAATGACCTGGTCCAAGAAAATAAAACATGCAAATGTAAACTTGGCAGGGTAATAATAAACAATATTTTGCTCTCCTTTAGCAATTAGAGAGTCTGTTGAGGTTCTTTTCTTTTGTAAATCCTTTGTTAAAGGGCTTTTCAGTTATTAGCTGCTCTGAACTATAAAGCATGAATGTAATGTGACACAATGTGCTGTTAACTGTAACTTCATAAACAAAAGCTGTAGATGTTTCATATTTTTCTGGATCTCTGTTTTTCCCTCCTCCTCCACACCTCTTTTTAAAAATAATTCTATTCGTTTAAAATAATTTTATTCGTTCCTCCTCAGTGCTAATGGATAGAAATATCACTGGCTATAATAAAAATGTAGCAAATGTCAGCAGTCCAAGCTTTATTACTTTATTAGAAATCCAAGACTTATTTTTTTTTCCAGAATTACACTTCCTCAGACAACTGACTCCTTGTCCAGTACATGTATCTGATTTGCATATACATGTAAAAAGAACCCTAAAATCATCAGAGGTGGGTATTTTTTAACCAAGATCTAAACTTACATACTTCTAAAAACTGAGCAACAGTTAATTGGAAACTCAGCAGATTTGATTACTTAAGGTTTCCAAAACCACTTTTTAAAAGGGGTTAAATATGTATGTAAATTTGTTACAAATCTATTTGAGTTTGACAGTTTGGAACATAATGTTTTAATAACATAAATATGCACAAAACTGTAATATTAGCTTTGGGCTATATTTGAGTGGACTGCATAGAAGCTGATTTTTGTTTGAGTTCATCTGCAGTACAAGCCTGCAACTGATTAGCATTAATTTCACCCTGCAGATGGGGGTGGTCATTGGTGATCTCGTAGAGAAAAATTGACTGTGTATGTGTTTTGCGTAGCTTTGCATTTTCTTACGTTTGTTCATTTTTTTTTCTTCTTAATTTCCCTATCAAACCTAACTGAAATTCATAGTTAGATCTTGCTATTCATCTTCCTTTTGTTACAATTCAGCAGTGCTGAACTTTAGTTACTTGCAAAGCATCTTCTTCAGTCTTGGATCTTATAACCCGTCAAAAGATAATCCATCCCATCTGTACTTGAATGGACAAAAGCTGTCCTGAGGCTTGTTACTGTTCCCAAACTACAGACTAAATCTAAACTCCTGACTCCAACCCTGTGTTTTGCCACTAGACAAAACACTAGCTTCCAAACGTTAACAAATTCAGCTTAAAAAATGGAGGAGGAAAAAAACTTCCAGCCTCAGATGGTTAAAATCTGGTTAGTTTGTGGGAAGATTGAGCTGAGGAGCCTTAACTTGACCTTAGTGATTCAGCTCCCTGCCCTAAGGAAGCAGCTGAACCACTTGTGGAGCCTGAATGGGGAATATTAATTTACAATATAGACTCACAGCGTGGCTCCTCTCCCAAACACACGGTTCTCCAGAATAGGTCCTACTCCCAGGGAAGGGTCTCAGAAAGAACCTGAGACACATCATTTCACTGGAGAAGAAATCTGTTAGCGAAAGAGTAGGGTTGGGTGAGGCTTGCTGTATGCACCTGTAACAATGCAATTGCAAGCCAGAAAATGACTATTTTAATGGAAATTAGAATTTCTACCAAACTGGAACATAAGAACTGGATGTATAACATATCCTCCCCATATGCTCACCTGTATTTCCATGAATGCCTTACATTCAATTCTGCAAATGTACACCTCTGCTTCAGTAACTGTGGTTTTTAGGGAATGCAAAAGAGGTGATATTTGTGTGTCCTCTGTAAGCGATTTGTATTTCAGAGTCATATGCAGGTAATCCCTAAAATTCAGTGCAAGTGTTTTGCATTCACTCAGTCGCTACAGACACATTGTCAGTGCAAGGAGCTGTAACAGTTACCCAAGACAACAAGGTGAGGAAATAACCTTAGAGAGCTCAACTCCTGTAACAATTTATGGGTATCCATTAAGCCAATACCGTACACAATTAGCAGTTTTTAGAGTATTTACACATAGAACAAAATAACACAAATTTCTGTTGACCCATATGGAAAAAAGGTCTTTTTACAGCCAGAGTAAAGAAATGGGCTTCCTTGAGTTCTAGCCCAAACAGAAAAGTAAGTTTTCTTGTAGCCAGTGTAAACACAGAGTAACAGTAGGGTTTGCTATATTCTATACTGTAGGGTACAGTTTTATGCTGGCAGGTTCATACACTTGATGGCAAAATGCTGGATTTTTAAAATTCTGTAAAAAGTGGTAAGTCCCTCATTTTCCTTGACACTCTATCTCCATTTCTCTGCCTGCAGGACTGTCAGACATCTGATTGTTCAGCACAGACTCCATAGGTGGGCCACTATCTGCCATTAGGTATCAATCTCCCTAAAAATGAAGCTGAAGCTTGAGATGGTGTCCCTCCAGCCCACAGCATCCCATAACCACGCTGCCAGTGAGGTTGCTTATTTCTGACAAATACAGGCATACAAACTAGACACACCTGGCCTGAGGGTAGATTATTCCCTCATTTTTCTACAGCGTTCATAAAATTGTGGAGACTGTTGTCTTTCCTTGCTCTTCTTAGGCTAATTTGTCCTAATTCTTTTAGCACTTTCCTTTTGAGTCGTCATTTCCAGATAATTTTTTTCTTCTGTATTGTGAACTTTTTACTTCACCTGCATCTTTCAAGTACCATTTCTCACAGCACTTGCAAACACCACTGTGTCTGCAAAGACGTGATACCCTGTCACAGAGGGAATTACATTGGTCTGTCATGACTTACTCTTGACAAACTCCTGTTGTCTTTTACAAGACTTTTTGTTGTCTTCTAGACCCACAAGTAGTGTGTCCTATAAAATCAGTTTTATAGTAGAGAGTACAACAGATTGTGATGCAAAGGATATTTAAAATAGCTTGTTGTGTATGAATGTAACAGCAACACACAGAAGAAACAAATATGACACACAGTATTAGGCTAAATCTGATTTCTCCTGCTGTGGAGAGCATGGAGTTGGTTTCACATTGGTTTCAGCTATGAATT